ACTTATGCCAAATTGATACTCGGAAATACTAATTGTTCTTATATTCTCTTTAGTTAATCAAAAATTATATCTAAGTGTTATCTGAGTAATTTCTTATTTTATAGAAATATAAATATCAATCAACATAATCATGTATTTCTTTAAAACAAAGGATGTAAAACATGTTCGAACTAATAATGCATAATATGAATATTTTATTTCAGTTTTCACACGGGAAACATATTTAACTAGCTAGATTTACATTTTTGATTTTAACTTCTTGAAAGAATGAGTAACATATTAAAAATCAAGGTCCTATTGAAATAATTCTATTTCCTTTAGATTAATCAAAATTAAAATAAATGCATGGAAGAATGGCTTGCGGTCGGATATTGCAAAGATAAAATGATTTTTTTCGAAACATAGTCTTTTTTTTTCAAAAATTTTCCAACACTTCTATCAGCTTATACTTGAACGATATATTTCTGTTTATGCTTCCTTGATTGTGCATCCCAAAATTCTCGAAGTAGCTACAATGTAGGCAATAGCCATTTTTTGGTATTATATAAAAATGAATTTCTTTAAATAGAGAATCATGTTTTGAGAATTTCTCGAGACATTGAATTTACAATCCTTTTTCTCTACGTGAAAAGTAAGACTTAAGAAAAAAAAAAGTTAAATAACTATATATTATGGCAAAAACTTTGTTTTAATAGCATTTAAATAATCGAACAACACACAGTGCACATACTTCTATTACATATAAGTCACAACATATAACAGTTGATACTAAGATTATATTCATTGGAAGAACACATTATATAAATGTTGAAATTTCAATTAGTGATTTAGATATGACGATCTCTTAATAGATCATACTTAAGAAAATAATAGTTGGTTTTATTGAAATAAAAATGAAAAAAAAAATTGATATTAAAATCATAGTTCTGCATCATTTTTATTAAAGAAAATATTCGAATTCATGAAAAAAAAAAAATTCATAGTTGAATATTGAACTGTTGTTTGTTTTATTCATAACTATTCTATTTATTTTTTATCATTATTTTCATCATTTATATAAGTTGGATTAGAATAACTTTGATCTGTTATTGTTATTCGACGTTGTGTTGGATCAATCGATGATAATGTCGTCATTTCATATGTTGATTTTGGTTCTTCATCTTTGTCTTTTACCTATAATAAATAGTATATATCCATTGACAAATAATCAAAATTCACATTTTATTTACTTCGATAGGTTCTTGTCCGTAACGAACACCAAATCGTAATTTAGATAAGATTTTTTCAGGTAAAAATGGAAAAAGAATATCAAATACAGGTATCATTAATTTTGGATCAAGCTCTTCTGGTTTTGTAAAACCTAATGAAATATAATTATTTTTTATCATTTCGTTTATATTATTTTCTTCTTATTCTACCTGTAAAATAACTAACCACTAAACTAACAATTACTGCAGTAAAGATTGAAAACAATGTATACCAAAAATAACTCATACCATAAAATCGAACTAATGGACTTTTTCTATATAAAAAGAAATATCGTAATAAATTTAATTTTTTCTATCTAAAGTAATTCAACAAACTTGACAACTTTATGAATAAAACTTGTTGTTGTAGTTGTATTCCATGTTGATGAATAAATTGTAGTATTGAATAATACAGTCATAGTTTCGTTCACTCCCAAACACCCATCAATACGTGTTGGTAAACGAAATGAACGCATTTGATGTCGAAGTATTTGTGAACCGAAAAAAATCCATATTTGAATCAATACACTTACAATCAAAGCAATTAATGCACCCTAAAGTTTTTATACTTTTACAATCGAAAAAAAAAAATAAAACTTTCAAATAGTACCATGGAATTAACCCAAGGAAGAAAAAATCCAATCATAAAAATAGCACTTATAGGTCCTGATAAAACACCAAATAAAGATAAAGCTGCTTGAAGAAGATTACCAAGTAATGAAACAAGATAAGTTATTAATATACAAACAACACCAAAAACAAGTGCTAAACATATTTATTTTAAACAAATCAAGTTGTTGTTTTTTATTTAGTAGACTTACATAACATTTTTGAATACCAAACATCTTGTTTATCAGTCATTTCTTTTCGATAAAAAAATTTTACTATATCAGAAAGAACAACTGCTGCTAAACTATTCAAACCCGATGATAAAGTACTATAAGTATTATCATAGAATTTCAAATCCGTAAGAAATAAATTTTAAATAGTACCTTAATGCACCACTAAATACACATGCAAGAAAAATACCTGGTAGACCTTTAAATCGCTTTAATGTTTCCATAACAAATAATGGATAAAGCTACAGAAAAAATAATAAATTTCGTAATTTTCAAGAAATAATAAAGTATACTTGGTCTGTCTGTTTTATCACTCCAGTTCGTAGTGGATCACAAGCATAATATTTAGCAAACATGACAAGACCAACTCCACAACAAAGTGAAAGAATAAAAATTAAACCAACTAAATTGAATAGTAATGCTCTAAAATGAATATTTTTATAGGTATATTTGCGTAAAATTATACGAACAATTTTGCATCTCGAACAGTTGGAACACAAAGATAACGTTGTACTTGTGCTTGATTAAAACCTAATCATATTATGGTGTATATAATGAGGTATAGAAATATATAATGAAGCTTTACCATAGATTGCAAGCCATGTAAAAGTTGCACCAAATAATATACTCCATACAGTATGACGAGTGGTTGGATCAGGGTCAAAACTAAAGAATGATATTATATCAGCCATTTATAAGGAAGTATTTAGTAGACCTTGGAACTTTTATAATATATCGATCATTTTGTAAGTGCTTGTCATGAAAAAATAAGATTCTCATTTAAGTTCTTAATTCAGAAAACTTCTGTTCATCTCGAAAATTATTCAGAATCAGGGCATTAATTGAAATACTTACTTAAAGAATTCCACTCGACCACCATCTAATGCTCTTTGCCAAACAGCTTGACTTCCACCTGCATCAATAATACCTGAAAACAACAAAATATATTTATTCTATGATAAAACTATTCACCTTGAATGACCGATGCAAGAAGACCAACAAACATGACAATCGTTTGAAAAACATCTGTCCACATAACAGCTTTCATTCCACCCTATTGTATTATATTTTTTAAAAACAAAATAAACAAAATCTTATTTAATTAACTTACTACTGTTGTATATATTGTACAAATAACTCCAATTGAAATAACACTAATCCAAACATTCAAACCAGTTACTTGACTTAATGCTAAAGCTGGTGCATAAAGTACTAATGCCATATAAATAACCTATCAAAGATATAACAGATTTTTATGATAAAAAAAAGAAAAATTTTTATACACACCATTTGTATGGAAAAAATAAGTGAAGCAATTAATCGTACATAACGATCGAAACGTTTTTCTAAATACTAAATATATTATCATATAGAATAAGAAATTCTAAATTATTCATTTCAATTTTCATTTACTTCATAAGCACTAGTTACATCAAGTTTGACAAACATTGGCATAAATAATGTAGATGTCATAAGAATTGTGAATATATAACTAATTCCTATATATAAAATCAACGAATTAATATAATCAATTTTAGATGTAATCAATTTTTTCTATTAGTCACCAATAATCCAATATTGTGTACCATAAACATAAACTTCAGCTGGAGTACCCAAGATTGTTATAGCAGACATAAAACTAGCTAGTAAACTCATAGCAGTTGGAAAAACCTAGATTAATATTTTAATATCTATTTAATATGATATTTTCTAAATGATTTACACCCATAGATTTATTAGCTAAAAGATATTCTTTTGCTGAACTCTTTGATTGTTCAATAGTAGTTTCACCATCAACATTTTTTTTCTTTTTTCGTTTATCAATAAAGCCATAGAAGAAACCAATAGCTGCAGAAAATAGAAGTAATAATGCGAAGATGATATAATCAACAACATCAAAACGCATATCTCGAATAGCCATCTTTCTTGATTAAAATCTATAGAATAATCAATAAATGTATTTGTGAAGATGATTTCAAAACATTCTATCAAATGTGTTTCAAAATCATTCGTTAATCTAATTTTTCTTTCGCATTTGACATAAAATTCGTAGTTCTCAAATATCATTCTATTATCAAATTTAAGCAATAAATTGTTCTATATATTGTTGATATGAATAAAGAAATATAACTATCTTTAAAATCCAACAAAACTACAAGTACCATTCATATTCGACTCTTCATTTTGTAGGTTTTTTAATAAAAAAATTGAAAACAACCAAGAAAATCGTTTTCGTGATCTGATAACTTAAGATTTTAGATTTAATCAGAACTCATTTCAGTCAAAATTCAAATGCACTAAGGTTATTTGTGAGAGTATAATTGTTTTCTTTGAAATTTCGGTTTGTCATAAATACAATCATTTTGCAATAAAATTCCATGTTTGATATTGTTGTAAATATTTTTCTATGTTTCACTAATATCTATTTTTCTTAACAATAACAAACCGAAACACAGCAACAGTTTTTCTGGATCTCAAAAAAATCAGATATGTTTTCAGAGCAGTATCTTGAGGCCAATTCTCTTCGTTTTCAGCACTGTTTTTCAATCTTCTCAAGAATTAACAATTTTATATATCTGTAAATGTCTGTTTTGTTTCATTTTTTTTCCTTAAGATGTCAGTAAAACGTCTGACCTAAAACATCTCATTTCACTTGTACATATAGTCGAAGAGGTGGAGAGAACAGTATTTCTTTTTCTTTTCTCTTTAGTCATTATCATTGAATAGACATATATACATATGTACATACATATGTTAAAGATCCAGACCAAGCATGACGGTTAACTTTAGTCACCATCTCGTTTGACTCGAGAGAGACGAATAAAATTTATAGACATTATTATTAACTATTCACACATTCACATTTTTCTTCATTATACATACGATTAAATACAACATCTAGTAAAAAGAAGTCATGTCACCAATAACGAAAAATTCCATACAATTACAAACAAATCTGTGCATATCATCAGGATGTGATTTACCAAGTGAAGTTATATGTCGTCATTGTCATAAACAATATTGTCAATTATGTTTTATGTGTCATAGAAAATATTTAATAGATGATATGCAATTAATATCTGAACAAATGTCATTAAATCGTCAACAAGGTATTTCGGAAGTTATTTCATTTATTGACAAACAAGCGAAAGATGCACATGAACAAGCAAAAAAACTTGTTGATGATGCTATTGATCGAATTATTAAAGCAAGTCAAAATATTTATACGTATATTGAAAATCGTCGATCAGCTAAAGTAGTTTAAATTAAAATTTTATTTTTCTAAAAAAAGAAAAAAATTTTTCTTCTATTTTAGCTTAGTCGTTTAGAAGAGTGTTTAAAAAAATTTGATAAAGATGCACAATTACTTAATTCAAAATTATCTCGTCGAATATTTTTACCAGCTGATATTATCTTAGATTTACGTCGGAAATATGCATATAATATGTTTGATAAATCATCATCAATAATTAAATCTGATTGTAATATTATTCAACGTAAAAATGAACGATTTTTTGAAAATTATCGTTATTATAATGAATTAATTAGTTTACGACAAAAATGGACTTTTCTTCAAGCTGCTTTGACAACAGTTTATTTTCCAGCAAAAAAAGATATTTCGTTAGATAAAATTCTTACGTTTCTTGAATATCGTCATGTGAGTTTATTAGTAAAATGTTTCAGTATTTTAATGAATGATATTTTAGGATCGAGTACTGGAGAATTATCGAGAATATTTATCAATGAATGAAAAATCCAAGGGTAAAAAAAAAAGAATCAGTTTTTATATTTAATAGAGTTTTCAATATCTTTTAGAATTATCATTAAAACCAACAGAAGAATTATTAAATGAACTAAGTTTTATTTCGAAAAAAGAATTACCAAAAGAAGTAAGAAATTATATTTTTGTAATAGAATTTTGAATGCGATAAGGCGAGATGAAAAAATCATCCTATATAAAGAATTTTTCAAGATTTGTATTAACTTCCACGACTTTCTTATAATATTATTTCAGTTTGCCTCTATCTGTTCTGGTTTAGGTTAGTTAATTTCATATTTTAATTTTTAAACTATTCATATAAATTCTACTTAATTTTTTCAAAAACAGAATTGTTGATTTAGAGTATTTGACTAGGATAGAGGGTCCACTATTTCTCTTGAAAGATTGCAACATCTTGCCTCCAAGTATTAAAAATTAGTAATACTACCTCTTTGAATTCTGAGCTTCTTATTATATACTTGGTATTTAAACATTACTACGGGGCATTAAAGATCCTTTCATACTCTAGTATAACTCGGTAGGTCTCTGGAAACTCTGATGAGTTTTGTGATTTCTAAGATTCATTCAGTAGAACTCATCAACATTTTTATAATAGAAGAGTAGTTGAAAATTTAAACGAGCTTAAAGCACTTAGTGCTCTATCATAAAAAGTATTAATAGATTTTACATGAAAACCTTTTACAATAGTTATTTTAATTGACAAAAGAGACCAAATATGAGAATAAAATGAGTCCTATTGCCCACCGTACCGATTCAATACGATGAGTTTGAATTTCATCAGACATAACCTGTATTTTCTCATAAGAAAAAAAAAACAAGAAGGAAATTCAATGAAAGGAGAATTTTGAAATATTTTATCTGGTGGGATATTTCAAAAACAGACTCTTTTCATTCCATCTGAAATCCTATTTTGTGAATTTAGAATGATTCTTTTATTTCAGGTTTATAATTTTACTTATATTAATGAAGCATCGATTGAAAAAACTAATGAAACAATAACTAGTAGTGATTTGATAAAAATTGATAGTGGTCATTGTGATGATGACACATCTTCAAATTCAAATCATAGTTGGCAAATTGAAGATGGTGATGATTGTGAAAAAAAATTCTGTAAACTAGGTGAATCAATGAAAACTCTTGAAAAACAATATGAAGAAGATTTTCAAACATTTACAATAACTCACCAACAAGAAAAATCTTAACATTGCTTTAATTTATTAAATAGAAACTTAATTCAAATATTTCTCTCTTTTTTTTTATTACTTATGTTGAAATTTTTCTCTTTTTGATTCAACATTACATAAGAATAATAGTATATTTACATCAATGGATTATTATGGTTTTTTAAAGGAGAAAAAATATATAATTAATAAAATATCTTTTTAAACTTCTTACCTGAAAGAATATGAATAATAAGATTTACTTATTTACGATTGATTTTCAAATGATTCGTACTATTTTCAGTATAGATGTGATTGTTTTTGGTACGTGTTTAATTGCAAGAAGAGCTGTCCTCGTTTGATTGCAAAAACTATATTAACAATAAAAGTTTCGATCGTACACATTCGAAAAATGTCATGGAAAAATAGATACTGAAATTACGATAAAGATAATTGAAATGAATGACTTTGAAAATGTTTTTTTGCATGATTATGATGTACTGTTGTTGTAAATAAAATGCTTGCTTGTAGTTTCAATTGTTGTTTTGAAAAAAAACAATCATGCATTCAACATTATCTCAATCATTTTATTCTCAAATCTGTTATTCCATCAATACTGAATCACACCATGTTAGATATACTTGCCCATTACATTAGTGTGGTGACTGATTAGGATTATCATAGACAAGATTACAAAGTAGATCATACTGCAATATCTGATAAGTATTTAAAAACAAACATGATGTAATAATAAAGAATCCGGATGAGGAATTAATATGACTTGCAATCGCAATTTTTGACACAATTTCAGAATATAAAAATATAGTGCTATACTTTGAACAAAATTTAGATTATAATCATTATTTAATGAGCAGTTATATTTTGCAATATACTGAATCTATTAAGACTCTTCTAGAGGACTAGCAGAATGGATTAAATTACCAGTTTGATAGACAATTCGATGACATTGTTTTATATAATGGTGAACTAAAATCAATCATTATAATTTAAGTCTGAAAATGAAACATGAGAATAAGAGAACATTGATCTTGTCGAGTACCATTATATTTACATGAAAAAATAATAGTTGTAGGAGTATCATCATGTTCAAATTAACATCAATCAATACATAACTGGTCATTAATATAAGAAATGATTTTTAGTAAAAAAAAAACTTAGAAGATACCCAATGAAAATTATTACTGAACAAAGACAATGTCTGTATGTGTGAATCTGAATGTCAATAGTAATAGATAAAAATAAGATGTCTCGGTGTGGATGTGAGCCCCATACTCACACCCATCTGATCGCTTAATAAGTAGTTGAAGAGTTTTGTTCTGCTGATTGGTTCTTGTTTGACCATGCATTCAACTACTATCTTTTACATAAATGTCTGATTTGTCCGCTCTAAGAAAGATTTTGCATGTATAGAGCAGTCAATGTTTCTCAGAAATAGAAATACTTCCATTCTAAATACCATAGATCGTTTTCCTTTAAACGATAGACTCAAATTTCTTCACTTTCAACTTCGATCCGTCCGCATGTATGACTGATTGATGGCTGGCGATGTCGGTCTAGAAAATTAAACAGTATCGTTCAAACATTTGAGTAAATAAACGAAATGTTGTTGAAAAGTTAAATGACAAAAAAAAAAGAATGTCATCAATGTTGGAGATGCCAGCCATATACACAATTTTTTGATTATCAAAACAAGAAAAGTGATTTTCAATGAATTGATTTTACTAAATACCAAAGCTACGATAATTGACACTCAGTAATATTATAACTATGTTACGTATCGCATTGAATGTCTACAATAGAAGTAAAATCAATAATGTCGATTGAGGAGCCTTCATTCTTTTTGGCTCAGCTTGTGATTCCTCTACACTCTACTAAGACGTATTTCTTTCAATATGATAAATCTAATATATTGTGTTATAGTTAAGATTTAACTATTCTTCAAAAACAAAAGAAATGTCAGGACTTTTATTATACTATAATTAATTCAGTTGACAATATTATTCGAATGTCGCAGCTTAGTCAGATGCTTCTTCTTATTAAGATAGAGTAGAATGGTTTTAAGTTTTTAAGGTTTTGGAAATTCGTTTGATATTTTGCTCATTCAAAATACGACTGATCTAATATAACTCATCAATACCTGTAAGAAATATTCATTTTAATAAATTACCGTTAGGACAACATTATACATTTTTATTAAGCTGATTAAACAAGTTTCTTTATAGAAAGTGAGAGGAATATTATTCAAATATTAAAAGCATATTACAATTTATTTGGTACCAGCATTTCAGCAGCTATATTCCTTTGAAATTTTTTACTCTGTTTTCCCCTTAAATATCAGATTTCAATATAGATATTTTGATTGTTTGCTTAATAAGATTTTAATGAGGCAGATTAACACTATTAGTACAACAATAGATGGAAATGCAATAATACCGATACCATTTGATATTAATTGATATTTGTATCAGTATCAGTATTGATACTAATACTGATACCAAGTCGATATTGGTATTATTGGTTTTGTTATAGGTCAATATAATCGACTTCGACTATTACTGTTTTGCTATTGTTACACTCCTAATCAGAGAATTTGAAATAATTATTTCGATTAATGTGCACAAAAAGGTATAATACAGATATTTAATGTTCTTATTTATTAGCCTGTGTATCTTCTGCATGATTTTCCGTTTTTTTAATGTGTCAACGAAGGAATCGAAGTGCATTTCAACATGATGTATATGATTGTGCAAATTATGAATTTATTCTAGCAAAGAACAATCGACGCTGACTGGGCCATTTCTAGACTGCTGAGGACGCATAGTTGGGTATGGGTGTAGTTGAAGAGAAGACCATAACTCACCTTCATACCCTCACTCCACTCTCATACCTTCTAAATTTTAATATTAATTTAATAATATCTAGTTTTTAATCTAATTTTAATTGTAATTTTGCTCAGTCATCAATCTCTAATTCTTCAATTTCAATTGTAATTCTCAATGTAATTTCATAGAATCAATAATTTTACCTATGTTTTTAATTTTTAATATTATTTTAATATCAATTAATTCATAATTTTCACATATAATTATAATGTTGACCGTCTAATGTAATTTTTCTAACAATGATAAAGGCTTACTTTGGTTACTTGTATAATTACAACGATGAAACTTGATAATGATAGTTAATTTACTTTTCTTTCTGTCCTGCTGCCAAAAGAACTTTCAATCAAAGATCATTGTTATCTTTCTCAAAGATATATATGTTGATCATGTTTTTCAATATTCTCACGCTTAATGCAAATTGAGACTCTATGAACACTTTGTTGACTCAATTATATCTGAAAAAAGAGATTGGATGAAGGCCAAACGAAGGCAAAGTATTGAAGATACTTTTTTGACAGTGAATTAATAATTTCTTGCATCGTCTGTTGCTTTTATCTCGAAGGAACATTGAGGATAAATGTATTTTTTATAGACTATTGTGCCTTCTGTAATTACGAAAAACAAATTGACAGCATTTGAGTAGGTCCATCGTTTCAGCTTGAAAAATATGCACGAAAAGGTCTCTATCTGAATGAGCCAGATATTTCATTTTAGAAACGTATACGTGCATAGACGATCAAATTTCAGTATCTATATTCACATCTGATCCACCTAAATTATAACAGAAATAAATCTCATAAAATGAAAGCCGAATTATATATATACGAGTTCAAACATGAGACTGTTATTAGAATCTATTTAATTGAGTAACCGTCATTACAGCTTTCTTATTCTGTATCATTCTGCCGCTCGTGATAGCAGCGAACAATGCAACAGATTGAAAGGTACAGAGTGAACTGCTAGAGAGAGAAGCAATTGTTCTTGCAATATTCTGTCATCACCTTAGGTCATCGAACAGTCCAGCGAAATTTTGCAAGATTATACAGTTGGAGCTGGCTGGAATCTCATTCATCTTACGGATTACTATTGAGAGCGACTATCTGAAGTCAAACTTTTAGAAATCTTAAGTAAGTGCTCACAAGCAACACAAGTGCTTGTAGGAGCTGGATCTTCTCAACAGTCGGAGAAAATTATTCTTGGCGCTATTGGTCCTATTTCTGTTCTGAAGATTCGTACACTTAAAAATGCTTCCGTTAGATTTAACACTGTCTATTGGTATCTAACGCCATACTATACCTTCAGCTTTTCACCTTCATCTACTATCAACATGTTCGATTCGATCGACTTGCATGGCACAATTCAGCCAGAGTTGTGTCTCAGTTTCGCATTGAACCCAAGCAAGACCATTCGTGTTGGCAAGAATTTTGATTCACACTTACATCAAATGATTTACCTTAATGCTTCATGCTCATAGAACGAGTAACATGATACCGCTAAATAATCAGCGCTTTTATATTTAGATGGAAAATAAAAATCGATCCATTTTTAAAGACAATCAGATAACATGATCACTGATGTAGCCAAGGGCAGAATCAATGTCCATACGGTTCTCTGTATATTTCAATCGTTGAAAGTGCGTGTGTTCCAATCGAATGGACCTTAAGAATAGAAACTCGAATGTTTTGAAAGAGCACAAAATGGTCAATAATGTGTTCACCTTTGGTAGCCATCATAACTTTCAGTAGAGACAAATGATGATTAGTTAATTGTTTGTTTTGAGTATTGCATTGCCTAATCGAAACAGATAATCCATTTTATTTCATATCGATCGTGCAATGCTCGGGTTCACACAGAAGAAATGGCGTATCCCATTGAAATCGAACTAGCTAACTGATCGATGCATGTTTATAGAAAAAATACGAATTCGATTCACGTCGTAAATAGTGACGTAACTATAGGATATGACCATGGGAGCTCAGCCCTTCCACTCGAGAATCTAAGGAAATTTTTTTTTCAAAAAAAATAAAGAATGAGCTATTGAGACAGGATCTATTCAGTATTTCTCAGCGTTTAAAAGAACATAGAATGTACCTTGAACAATAAAATGAAACTTTATCAAAGTAAAAGCATTTTTTCACGCACGGAGAATACAGTGAGTAGATGCGGATTCATTCTGTTACTTGGATCTTATCGGACTTTTCGAAGTAAAGAAGTAAATGCAACGAAGTAAACAGACTGAATAAATTTTTTTGTATCGAGTAATAAACCGAATGGTCACGTCAAATAATATATTAACTTTCTTTGAAACATTCTATGTTAAGAGTAGGTGTGGGTGTAGGGTGTGGATGCATATAATAGATCAATACCCCCCTTCCATATCCGCTCTTTGAATTAGCTTTCCAATTACTTTCGCAAGCATTATAAATAGTGAATTCAGAAAACTCATTGGGTCATTTAAATGACCACTTACATCAGTAGGGAAATCAACCATAAAATTGTTGTTTAATCAAAAATTGTTTTCACTAGACGTTTCAATGGTGTGAACTTTCGATTTTATCTCTTAAGCTACACAAACTCTCAGCAAAGTTTAACGTAACAACGAATCACAGTAACAACAAGAGGATAAAAGGAAAAAAGAATCTAACAGAGCGCGAACACATAATACTAGTGTGAGAAGTGAGTGTGCGACTTCCTTCCATTCTCAGATCATAGTCACATACACTCAGCTTTGAGATAAATCCATATCACTTTGTTCCATTTGAAACAAATTACTAACTGCCAAAGACGAACGAGTGTTCTTCTGACTGATGTCTGAAGTCAAGCGTAACGTGTTGATTACGAAAGCCAATGAAGTGGTTACTATATTATTTTTCGATTGATGTGGACTCACAAATGCAATAACCAATATCAAGAATGACTTTCATTAGAAGATTAAAATCGGAGAACTTCGGCAAAACACAGTCAAGATTCAGAGTCGTCCTGACAAATTCAATCAATCGTATCACGTTAACTCATGAAAAAGCATATTACTCTCATCCACTACCCAGAAAAATAAAAGCCAAAACTGAGTCTTATAAAAATCTCATGAAGAATATTCCGATCATTCGTATCAGCTTCAAAGGAAACCAAAGTGAGTGCAGTAAGATCAAAATCGTGGGTAGACTGTAGTTAATAATCTTGCAGAGATACTTCGAAGACGGATTAGGAAAGATTGCCACTTAACTATAATTAACATCAGAGTCGATATTACCTCCCCGATTCGCATATCCGTTTGCGCTACTGTTCTAATTGATTGTGCTGCATACAGATTTTCGTATTGAACGGAAAAGCGCTCTTTCAGAGTTGGTTATTAAACAAAAACGGTGCATTATGTGTGAAAAGCTCTTAGAAACATCAAAACTGGTGTTAAAATGAAAAAACTAAAAACGATGCTGTAGAAGAAGACCAGTAGAGGATCCATCTTCAAGGTTTCAATTTGAATATGAGTGAAGATAAACCTTGCACTGATACATGGACGAGTTAATTCTTATCCATTGGTTTCAGTGCATCGAAGATAATTCCAACTGAGAAACAAAATTGGACTGTTTCGTTAATCCCTTAAAGATTCTAACAATACTCTCCAATCCTTTCATTTGTAATATATTTTATCAGATAACTTTTGCTATTCACGTTTCGTAAAAGAATTTAGTTTTCTCTTCTCCCGTCTTATCTTTGGTTTGGTTAGTTTTATTTTTCTTGTTGCTATTTTCAGTGTTCATAGACGTAATAGAATAGATTGCACTCAAAATAAAGATGACTACTGTGTTTTTTTTTCTTGAACAGCATTTGTTAGATATATTGGTGTGGATGAGGAGAAAAAAATCTTATCTTCATGATGATATCCGTACCCTTGCCAAACGTTAGGGAAATCTTATCGTATCATGGCTTAAACCTGTTTTTTGAAGTAGTCGACCAATACATTATTTCAGTTGAGCATATCATCTGAATACGGCTTCTAACAATGTACTTGAAATAGGTTTGGATTGATTGTAGTATTTTTTTAAAAAGACTATTATATGACCTTTCGGATAGCTGCACACCAACAATGGTATTCAAAGTAAAGACAATTATAAATCGAGAGCGTTCTATGTAATTTGATTTTCGTCTAATATCTGATGCATACTATTTATTGATCATGAGGTTTTTATTAAATTATCAAAAGTCAATCCCAACTTTTTTTATAGCCAATTGTGTCCCAAAAGTCACAATCGTCCTGTAGATATTTTTCTTGAATTTGAAGTGGGTCTTGAAAGTACAGATATTGCTCAAATCCACGAACGAATTTGGGCCATCTCAAAGAAGCTTGCACTGGCTGATTTGGATCTTTACTCTTAGCGTAGTTTGTCCAATAAGTAGCTAATGTTTGAGACATGTATCGATCAGCATCAGTTAAATTAACCCAGAATGATTCAAACAGGAACACTAATTCATCGCCGTGACACGTATGACCGTCACATCCAGATGAATTTATTGTACCATTCGTCTGAAGTGGATATCCAAACACATACGAATAGGTCGCTGCTTTACGAGCAAAAACACGTGTTGGACAAGCAAATATCCATTGAGTAGCAAGTCGAGCCAGGAGTGAACGTTGATCGCCAGGTCCTTCTGGTGGAAAACGTTCAATAATTTTCAAAAACTTAGTACCGAATATGGCAATTCCAACTTCTGCATACAGCCTAGGCGATACTGGTGTAGACCATATGTCATAGATAAATCCTAAAGCTTCTTCGGTCAAGGTACCGATGATCAGTGGTTTCAATGTAAAAGATACATTGGAAACCATTTCAAGAAGTTGACCGTGCACAAGTATGTTGTCAATAACAGGAAGCCACGGCTCAAAAAAGAGTAGAGCTTTCAACGATGTAACCATACTATTAACTGCCGTTTGAGCTATAACAATATCTTGATATGAAGCTGTTCGAAAACATGCGAGATCACCAATAGTACAATTAAGTTTTTCAGCAAGAAGAACTGTGGGTGTAATATATTCTGCATATGTTCTAGTAGTCCGATAAATAAGAAACCTATGTCTATAATCAATTTCATCGTTTTACCTGAATGGAACCGACATAGGAGAACTTTCTATTATAGCAGCCTGAAAAAATGATTGCATATCGCTTGTGAGATAGTGTAGTGCTGTTGATTGAGCCCCTGCACTTTGACCAAACAGTGTGATCTAAATGATGAAACTCATAATCTTGGTCATGTATATATCGATTTGACTTCACTTGATTTGGATCTCCTCCAAATGCATCTATGTTCGATTTGATCCAAGCGATCGCCAGACGCTGATCCAATATACCATAGTTGCCTTTGAGATCATTCGGGCCAGTGCCAGTTGCAAGAAAGCCAAGCACACCTAATTATGTATCAAAAGGAGATGTGCACTCCATTACTGAAACGACTATTCTCACCTAATCGGTATTGAATAAATACACAGACAACATTAGTCGTGTTAACAAAACGATCTGCTTCATAGATCACTAATGATGCATCAAGAAATTGAAAGTTGCCACCAGGAATAAAAATCATCACGGGAAGTAATGATGATGTGTTTTGTATTGGGGTAAAGACATTCAAATAAAGGCAATCTTCCGATGTCTAAATATACTAAATTTACGACGAACTCTATAAAACATATATGGATACTCACAGTTTTAGGACACAGAATATCGTGAACATCACATGCAGGTTGAGGACAGGCAGGTGGGATTTCAGTTGCATTAATCGTTGATGGAGCCCATTTACGAATAGGCATTGGACGACTCCATCTAAACCCTTGATCATGATGAGAAATGTAAAGTTATTTAGTTACCTCAGAGGACCAATTGGTGGCTGAGCAAATGGAATACCATAGAATATACGGCCGAAATCTGTTTCGTATCCTAACACATCACCATATTTTGTATGGACAATAACTGATCGATTGGCTGAAATATCTTGTGATGAACACACTAGTAGAAGAAAAAATAGAGTCCAAATTACCATTGTTTCTGTCAACAAAGAAGTGCGAATTGATAGATAACAATGTTGGTTACACCTTACGTATGTTGATAAAGAGGTGCCTGGTTAAAAAGTGTGAGCCAAGAAGCAAAAGAAATAACATTGTGACTCATTGTTGTCTTTGAGATTTCTTCAATGGCTATTACCTAGTAAACCCGACAACTGCTTTTGTAAATAAGAAATTAGGAAGAATATTCATGATCATACCATCTTTAGATTATATCATTGTAAAAAGTTGTCTATTCACTTATGTTTCTTGGCATTTAGCATCGATCTGATTTAGATATTCATGAATATTCTACAAGAAAATTTTCATTCGATTTTGCGACTTTTTATTGGATAAAAAATGTTGGCATAAACAAAATGACATTCATATCCCATCTAGTTGACAAAAGCTCGGCTGGTTCTAAGCTTGATTAAAGATGTTGTATAGCATGAAATTGTAAAAATTTATATACTATTTTGGCTGCCTAATCGAATTCGCTTTGGTTCAGATAATAGCTTGGAGGATTTCGATGTGCTTCTTCTCTCCATAAACAATGACAATCATAAATGGTTATCACTCTTTATCATAGTAATATATATTTTCAAAAGTTTTCCTAAGGAAAAGAAAAAACTGTTGTAGTAGTTGTAACGTCTCGTAAACCTTTGTTTGAAATATGCCGTTGCTTAGAACCGTTTGATTCTACACTTATATGTTCACTTAGTCTAGAAGTTTTCTATGATTGGTGAAGACATATGAGACTTGTCCTTGCTCATTCCTCATATGATGAGCTCATAATAGACTTTTCAAGATAGAAAGAGGTGAGCGTAGCTTGAAATATATTTCATTCGAGAATAGTGTGAGTCAATTCGAATAGCCGATATCGCAGCGATTTTTGCTTGGTGTGAGGCGACAACTATGATAGATTGTTAGGAGGTTGTGAAGTACTCCAATGAGGTTATGTTTGAATAATTCATGATGCATTGCTTTCATAAATACATACTTTTACTTCCTCTTGCGTTGCTAATCAATCGGCCTACATTTAACAATAACCTAACGCTAGTAGTATATGACAAAGCATGCTTTTCATGTGAATGAGACTAGAAATTTGCGTATATAACCATAATAGTAGGTGCATTTGTACCGAATCAAACGCATTATTTCTTGGAAAACTGTTTTATGCTTGATACATGTCAAATACTTGTTTTAGATGGCTGATGTATCTTCGTGTTTCGAGATTTTGCCCGACGAACTGATACTAAGCATATGTCGTTATCTTTGTGGAGGAGATGTTCTCTATGCTTTTTTTAATTTGAATATTCGTCTCAATAAAACGATTGCAGACTATTATCATCATTTATATTTGATGCCATACGTGTATCGGAAATTCGATTATGTTATCTGTCATATTTTACCAGAAATTAGTATGTTTGCTAGATCTTTGATGCTCAATGGTAATTGGGAAACAATAATATCGCATAGAGCATTTGGTGTTCTGTTCGCCAAACCCATATCATTCATGTTTCCACAACTTCAAAAACTTACACTTAAATGGTTCACCGGTGAAAGACTTTGGTCATTCGTTGATACTCTTCAAAATTTGTCACAACTTATCGAACTTGACATTCGATTTCTTAAGGGTAAAGCTCAAGATACGTTACTAACGAAAGTTCTTGCTGCTAATAACGGTCAACTTACATCGATATCATTCGATCAGGACTCGATTTATCTAAATATATCTGAAGAAAACAAACCGGCCTTATCCTCGAATATTATAGAGCTAAAAATCAATGTAACTCAACGTCAAATGTTGTTTCGTTTCTTAACATGGATCCCAAATATACGTTGTCTACATGTGCATCTTAATGAGATTTCAGATAGTCCAGTAACCAAACAAGAGTTGGCCAATCTACCATCGCTTATTCATCTCATTGAATTTAAGTTACATTCGATTAATCTCGTTTGGACATTTGATGAAGTCTTCGATTTATTAGATCGAATGCCCATTTTACAAAAGTTAACACTCGATCTTCGTACATCCGATGAACGTTTAATCAACGGAAGTAATCTTATGGTCGTCCTACGTTCACCACTCAAAGAGATTCATCTGTTTATCCGCTACTACTTACCTGAACAAAACCTTAAAGCATATACACTGTTTACATTAGAAGCAACTCGACCACTGAGCATCGGTTTACTGGACGAAATACGCCACCGTGTATTAATTTATACCATTCCTTGCGGTTTACGTTCGATCATTTTACCAGGAGCTATCGGAAAAAACATGTCATGCAACTGGAAATATATGCAACAAGTAGAAGATCTATGGATTTATGAAGCAGCATCTCTTCAAGAAATTTTTCTGATTGTGCAGCATTTTCATCGACTTCGAACACTTCAGTTTGAACTCGCGAATAAATCAGAACTCAGTATGTATATCGGTTTCTTAACTTTCAAAATTCTATTCTTATTTGTCAAGTTTTGTCGAACTAAGTATCACGAATCAAAGAATAAGTCTCTAGGTAAAAAAATCAATTAAAAGTTTTTTTTTATGTTACAACAAATAATAAAAAATTGGAGGGATTGAATAACACAGTACGTTAATTGTTGCATCTCTTTTCTTATTCAGCAGAGTATATAAAATCGAAATTTATTTGAGTTTCAAACATTAAAATGATTGTTACGATCAATGCTGCATAGTTTCTTGACATTAGAAGATCAATAAACCTGGTCATTTTACCAAACACATAGAAAAATTTTATGATAATCAAAAATATTCAAGACAATTCTGTTTACAGTTTTCAGATTTGTTATATTGTTCTGATCTCTTTGAAATACACTACCATGAACGATTTTCTGTATTCAGCAAGTTTTACGATCGAATGCTAGGCATAAACATAGTTTGCATTAGTCATTTTTACCAACAGTTGCATAATCTTCTTTGCCTGAATGAATATAGAGAGAAACTATTCTTTAAATGTATATATAGTAGAACCTATATACATAAGTCTCAAACAATGAAAATATGCGGAAAAAAAATCGCATAAAACGATAAGAGATCGAAATACTATCTCAGTTTGTCTTTAAACTATAACATGAACCGGATCCAATAGGTACCAAGAATGATAAAAGTCTTCTTTAGACTCTATTTTTGAGATATTGGCGTGTTTTACAGGAGTACGATGAGCTGCATGCAAAGCTTTCATGCTACCAGGGACAAAAATTGCAATATTGTGTTAAGGGCAGTCGGCTAAATCGTACGATACTATATTTTATGTGTAAAATAAAGGTCTACGCGCGACTATGTTACATGATTAGTCAAGTATTGAATTTTTCCCTAAAATGAAGTGCGTTCCTCAGTTCAAACACAACGGAACATCATAAATATTTGTGAATTGATAGTTTGTTTTTGTTTGTGCACGCTTAGGTACCATGACGACCATGACACCACCATGTGTCTTATCATTGCCTCGACTACTTAAGCTCGAGGTATTTGGAATATGCGAACTCTATGATTTGATCAGTGTTGCACCCAGACTCAACTATTTAAGCATTGACTATGCTTGTCTAACAGTTCTACTTAATGACGAGCCTTCATGTACACAATTAAAACAGCAAATCACTCGCTTAGACGTTACCGATTGGATCGATATTGAATTCAATGTATTAAAAAGTGTCTGCAAAGTATTTAGCCAACTTCATCATCTTATTCTTACTATGAAGGATTCAAAAGTGATCATTGATTCAATTGTGCTTGCACTATTTGCTTATTGGACCGGAGAATATCTTCCGTCTATCGATATTAAAGCTCCTCCATCAGATGAAGCGTCTAAAAATCTTCGTCAATGGTTGATCGATAATACTCAATTAACAGCAACGGATTCATTTGGAATCGAATATAAAGATGAATGGTTTGCCTTATGGTTGTAGCATTTTATCTATGTGAATGGCATTTCTGTGTTCATTTCCATTACAATAACATATTGTAAGATAGATTTAGTGATGATTCTTTCGAGAAAAAAAGATTGTTACTGTTGACTTGGCGATAGTTGCAGTCAATTTTGCAGCAATTTATGATTAGTGACACTCAAGGATCTGTTTCGAATAAATGAATAAAAAACTTCCATACTATCATATATTTGAAAGAAGGCATGTTAAAATTCTCCAGAAAAATTAAGATTGAGTATAATTTAGTATGGTAAGAAGGATCAAGCTTATTTCTGTGCCCAGACGCTAGTTGTATTGCTTTTGTTTCACTCAATTCCAAATGAACACATGACTCAATTCTTGTTTAATTTTCGATCGATTTTCATTGCATTTCATATCGATGGGCGTGAATATTCATGTACATGTGGATGTGGGTGCCGTGTGCAGGAAAAAGTAGAAGAAGATTCACAGCTAGCTGCTACTACACACACTCCCAAAGTTATATTTGAAGCAAGCATGTGGGACAGTAGTTCTGTTTGAGAGTATTCAGTAGGATCCCCTGAGAAGATCAGTCAAACAATAAATATACGACTGCATTGACATTTCACAATGATTATTCTTCGTTGACCCGACACCAAGCTTGTCAGCTGAACTAATATACAGACATATGAATCTTTAAAGAAGAAGATGACCGTACTATTCGTCACAAAACGATTCGCCGTGAACGTGTGATATAGATGTGGATGTTGGTGTGCGTAACGGTCTTTTGTGTACCATCACCGACACTCTCGTTTAATACTTCTTCAGGATATTTTAAGACGAGCACTTCATACGACAAATTGTCCGATACTCTGGTGAACTGTCGTACATATTGTGGTAACTCATTTCAAGACTTACACTGGTAATAAAAGCTCTTCGCTTTTACATTTCGCATGAATATATCAAGTTTCTTTACTTTCTTATTTCAGTTTGAAATATATGCATCGTAAAATGAAACTATTTGATGAATTCTTTGAGCAAGAACGAAACAGTTCATAGCAAATTTTCTCTATTACTAATCAACCCTCACACCCATCCTTCACATCTTCACTCTTATCCATTTCTCATTTGCCTTTCCTAACAATATGCCTCGTTCATTAAAAAATTAATAAGATGAGATAGATATACAAAGCAAACGAATCAAGCATTTTATTAATAAAAAGCTTCAACAACTATTGAACTAAAAACCATCCAGAACTTGGACCTTTAAATAGATGCAAAGTCTCTTCTCCTCGTTTTCTTGTCGATCGATAGAGATCCACCTCGTTCAGTTCATGTAAATATTCATATTTCAATCGATAGTACTTTTGACACAGTACATAGCCACATATTTTTCAAACTTCGACACAACTGATCACTGAAGAGCGCCCTAGAAGACTATTCTCAAGAGATGATTTTGTATCTTTCAGATTCTTCTCCAGGAGGCTTCGATCAAAAAAAGACGTTATGAGTCAAAACTAATAACATATTTGGAATCAGCACCCAAGACTCAGTTGACTTAAGAATATTTCAGATATTTTTGCAAATTTTGTTTCATCGAAATATTTACCTACAGTACCTCTCAGTATTTTAGTTAAAAAATATGTTAATTGGAACATTTTTGTTATTGAATCAGTCTCAGCTGCTAATTTTCCTATGTTTTTGAGATTAGAGCACTTGACAAATTCGTATAGTTTTCTTTGTAATCGTAGGAAAACACCTGGAAACCTTCTCCCGTCAGTAAAATTATATGTTACGTATTGCGTGAAATGACTACGATAGAAATAAAACTTGACAATATTGTTTGAATGTCATACCTAATTCGGATGCTTCGTCTTATTGAGATAGATTGAACGATTTTAACCGTTCAACATGATTGAAGGTCATTCAATATTTCGATCACTTATAATATGACTGATCTAATATAGTTCATGAATATTTGTAAGAATTATTTATTTTCATAAGTTACCATCAGAAAACCATGAAATTCTATTATTAAACCAATTGAACTAGTTGTTTTGTTGAAGAAAGCCGTATAAATTGTATTCAGATTTTAAGGAGATATTATAATTTAGTCGGTTGCATTATTATAGCAGAAATTTTAGTTTAAATTTCTTTTGTTTCATTTTTATATCCAAAATCAGATATTTTGATTAGTTGTATAATAAGGCTTCTATATAGCAGATTAGCATTATAAATAAAATCATAGATTTGAAATAATGACTCTAACCAATTAATGTGAAAAGAACTTTAATAGATTTGCATTTCCTTAATTATTATCATGTACTATTTTTTGCACGATTCTTTCTTTTCTTTTCTTTATTAGTGAAGAAAAATTGAAATAGATTTCATATGGTACATATGACTGTGCATATTATGAATTTATTTGAGTAATTAATTATCGACATCGAATGGATAATTTCTAGACTGTCAAGATTAGATTTCTACTTTTCTTTTGTCAACAACTACGAGTTAGTTCTATTATCAGTATTATATTCTGTCAAATTATTTCAATTAGACATTGAATAATTATAAGAGAAGTACTCGTTTGTTTTATTAATGCAAGAATGGTGTGTCTCATCTTATCGATATTCGGATATTCTGTCTATTTGATTAATAATACTCAATATGCCATCAAGATGTTAACTGTTGTATTGTGTCACAAATATACTGAGAATACGTCTGTCAGAGGATAAGACAAGCATCAATAGAAAATCTCTTAATGCCGTAGACAGAAACCAGTTTTTATGTACAGAAACGATGAATGACGCAGTATAATATGTAATAATAGCACACTGAGAACAAAAGCTTAATTCATCTCGATTGATCTTTCACTGGTCAGTATATCATGCACGTATAATATACAACTATCAGAACAATGGATATAACAACGAAAGAAACTTGATGATTAATGGCAGGCAACAATATAAAAGAAGAGTAGTTTCTGTTTTTATTCTTATTAATTATAATCTGAGCTACTCATAATAAGTTATATTCCTTGAATAGAGAACATATAATCTCTTTAATTTGAGAAATTGCATGTTCACTTCAGTGTGATATTTTGCTTGGACGATAACAATGATAAATTAAACTTAAAAACGTTGCGATTCTCATTATAGGTAATAATTGGGTAGATCAGCTATAGTTATTACTATGTTTCAAGAACTAATTTATATAGATTAAAGAAAACGAAAATCATTTACTTAAGTTTTTAGCAGTTTGCTATAAAACATATGTTTGACATCTGTATATATTATGTAGAGTATTTATTCAGCCAATTTTAGATTCTATCATCATCCTCAAGATAATGAAATAAAGCGATATATCTCTCAAAATTATTTCAGATGGAACTCGTTATGTTAACATTTTGCTTCTGTTTGTCTATCTCTCTCTCTCAATAGAACAGGATCAAATAGATATCAGTATATTTTCCATGAAACCCATAACTTTTTTACTCAGGAATGTCAGTATTGATTGTTACTATTCATAAAATAAATAGCTATCTGTATTGCAATACACAAGTAATTTAAGTTTTTTATTTAAAATAAAACGAAATACAAACTAATCAACCCGTTCGAGTGAAGACGTCATTTTGTATACTTTCTTTTCTTTAGAAATACTCATAAAGTATCAATTATATTTATCAAATAGATTTATATCGATAACCTTTCATTCTATAGAGTAGGACATAAAATAAATGATACATCCAGAAACTCTTTTAAGCTAAATGAATAACAAGATAAACAACTCTTTTAAATTTTCCTTGTTCACTTATAAATTTTCCTATAAATCTTTATGAAAATATCAATAAAAAAAGGCACAGCTTTGACAATTATAATACGTTCACAATATACAGAAATAATAATTTTGTTTTAGAGATCAGAAGAATATATTTTTCTTCTATTCCTACTAAGGTTTTTCTCTCCTCTTTTTTCTTTCGTCATTTTTTCATCTATAATATTGTGCCAAGGAAGTAGTTCTTGTACTATTCTCTTTCTTTCTTCTTCTAGCCGATCTACACAGAACATTGGGAAAGCATAGCTTCGTTCTTTTTTTTCTTTTGTAATCATTTGTAACCATACGAATAATCAATTTGTCTGCATATTAAGGAAGAAAAACACGTATACAAATGGAACAACAAAATGAAATATTGACGGACAAAATATCAATGACCGATGACTCGATAGGCCTTAATAAATCTTCATCTTTATTATATGATCCTGTTGTGAATCGAACACGAAAAATTCTACTTATTTTAGTTGTCACATTACTTGTTCGTAATTAATAATAGACTGAATTTATATATCTAATGAATAGATTTTTTTAAGGTTCTTGGTTTGACATATTTCATATTTATTCTTCATTCATATGCAGCTACTATTTCACCTAAAAGTCAACTTCCTAATAATAGTGCTCAATTGGTATCGATACTTATTTATATTGTCTATTATAGTTTTGGATTACTAGTAATTTATCGTTATTATCAAACAGGTTTATTTGTCGTATGTGATCATTATCTTGTTACTAAAGAATAGTATTTTTTTTTTTGCTTTTATTTAGTTTGCTTGGCTTGGTTCTGTATCTCTCATTTTAATACTAGCTATTGCTATGGTTATTCTAATTGGAATTATTGTTGCAACATCACGTTTAGGTTTTGTTAACGGAATAATTGTTGCTATAATTTTTATTATCATCTTTCTAACTGCTTCATTGCTTCAAGTAACTTTGTTTTCCTTTTTGAAAAAAAAAATTTTAATCATTTTTTTTTCCTTTTTGTTTTATTTTAGGTTTTTACTGTTCGATATGCTTTTATATTATCAAAATTACTAAAAAGTACAAAACGTCTAACTACTGAACAGATTTAAATTTATTATTCTATTGAATGATAGAATAGAAAAATAGATAACTCCAACACTGGAAACAAACATGTTTTCTTTTGTAAAATGTAACTTGTTTTTTTGGGTAATTATGGTACTATTAGTTCTGTTTTGCTATGTCTTAAACGATTAGTAACGGTTGTAAAGACATCGTTAAAATTATAGATGTATGTAGAAAAAGAAACATGTCGATAAATCTAAAGTGTCATGAGAAGATATCATTAAGATTTCTGTTTAACTACTTTGAGATTTTTTTTTTTTATATAAAAAATAATAGAAAAATAAAAAGAGATATTATTGTTGATCTTTGTGCTAGTTATATATGACAATGTAAAAATGTTAACAAATGTGTCTTCTATTTATATATCAATTCATTAGTCCAAGGTAACCATAATCGAATTTCTTCGAGAGGAAAACAATCGAATAATACATCTTACGAAAATCTACATACTTGCATATATAATTACTTTATATTTTTAATAGAAGATTAATTTCGAATTTTCTAAATGTGAAATTTTCTATTACTTATTCTTAATTTATTGTTTAATATATATATATATATTTATAAAACTTTGTATATAGCTTAGAACAATAATTTTTACATGACGGGTACATATATTTATATGTATATACATGTATGATCATTTGCATGATTCAAGTATCATATCTCATATTTACACAATACATTTGATTTGAATGCAAAATTAAATTAGATTCTTGTATTCAATTATATTTCACTTAAAATGGTGTTTAGCATCCATGTAATCGAATTACCTAATGTTCTCAATTCAAGACTTTGTATAAGTCAATACAAAAGGAATTACACATATTCCTTTATGTCGGTTTTGAAGATCAATCTTATAGGGACTATTATGAAACTCGAATAAGTAAAGATTATTATTCATAAAAATAACAAGAAATTAATTGAGCCAAAAAAAACCGGTTACTTTTCTATTCAACAAAAAGTAATATCAAATAGAAGAAGAACGAATTTTCTTTTTGATTTAGTCAAATAAAATTTACTAAAGAATCGAAAAAATAATAATAAAGAAAATTTTCAGCTGATATTGAAGCATATCAATAATACTGACAATTTTCATTTCATGCATATATTCATTTGTAGGGCATCCATTAAAGATTTGACCTACAAAGAATATTTATTTTGTTACGCCAAATGAGATTTGATGATGAAGAAAATTATTTTTTAAAGCATATTGCTAAACAATAACTAAGAGATCTTTTGCCAGCAATAGTTCTATCATTAATAAAAGTCAGCTGAAATTGTATAAAGAATAGATTTTAAATTCTAAGTATTTGTGTCATATATGTTCCTCAAAGTGCAAGCAATATTTATGCTCGTAATCTATTTAGACTTGAGATTTATGTTATAAAATTTTCATTAAATACAATATAACTAAATTTCCCCATTTTGAGTCCATATTAAATCATTATTTGTCATTCCCATAGTACTACTATACAGTAAATGAAAACATGAAAATTTGAAATAATGAACAATGATAACATTGAATTTCCATTTTGAAAAAAAAAAACAAACATCGCTCAAACATACAGACAACCGGTGTAAACTAGCAAAATAAAAAGAAACAAAAAAAAAACAATGTACAATGAATAGAGAAATAAAATATAGATTTATTGTCTTAATGGTAAGTCTATCGCATTTATTAATTGATTATAATCTTTTGAAAATATCAAAATACCGGATGAACATGTTGATGGTATTCGAACATGTGTTACGGTTGGACGATATGGAATATTGCGTGTTTCATTTTCATTTAATTGACGATCTTCACGTAAAACGTTAACAACTTGTCCAAGAACATTCATCGTACGCCACCTTGTATCTGAAAATAATCTTGATGTATTATTATTTATTGCTAAAGGTGTTAAACACATTGGAGATTGATTATAACGTTGAACAATTTCTTGACGTGTGATATATGTTATTGAATCAACAGTTAATTGTTCATAAACTTGTTGAGGAGATTGAATTTGTATTGGATTCATTAGATATATTCCTCGAGGTTCAACGCCATAGATTATACGATGTTGCCAAGATGAACATGTACTATAAAAATTTGTTTTTTGAGAATGATAATGATCCATATTCATTATTGCAATAGGCAGAGCACCTAAGAAAATACAGTAAGAAGTATGAGATGTTTGAATAGATAAAAGAAAAAGGATTATTTACCTTGTTTAATCCAATGAGAAAGCCATTGTAATAAATCAACATCTCGTGGTGGCCAAAATGGAAAAAATCGACAATGTATATGAGAAGAATATTCCGGATATTGAAGAAGATTTTCATGTAAGTCATTTGCAGACATGTCTAAAATAAATAACATATATCTTCATTGTTTGCATAACAGAATAACTATTATTGAACAATATATCATAAGAAACCTATCATCAGAAATTCTATGAGATTAAAATGTGAAGTATGCTGTAGTTGTTATTGATAAACACAAGAAGATCATTTTATTCTAGTATTTTGAAGTACATGTCTTCACTATTGATTTTTCAAGTATTTGAGATTGTGTGTCTTCGAAAGAGCTAATCAAATAGAATTTTTTTTTTATGGTCAAACCTAGTGTTTTAAACGAAAGATTTAACTAAAATCGATCCATTAATGATCATGTGATGAGTCTAGAGTAAGAACTAATCGTTTACATTCTTGACAGTCATCATCATCCTAGGTATATCATGTGTTCAATTTCTCGACTAATGGACAGATGCTGTTGCATATCTTTTTACTTCTTGATGGCGAAGACCTTCGCTCGAATGAACTGTTCATATTAGTTCGAAGAGAATTTTCTATAACCATCGTCTATATCATTTATTCGGTATGAGAATATCAAAAGTTTGATATTTTAATTAAAAAAAAAAAGATTTTCTCATTTCCTACCAGCTTCACTTCTATATTGAAGATAATCAAGTAATAATTCCTTTCGAATAGATGATACTTTCGATTGTTGATCTTCATTAATATCAATATTTAATTGAAAATATTGCTAAAAAATTCAAACACAAAATTTTCTATATTAAATTGTAAAAAAAATCTTTACCACAATTTGTTGCACTGGTGATTGATGATCTATTTGCCGAGCATGATCATCATCCCATAACATAACATGACGTTCAACATCACGTACAGCTTGATCAACAATTGTCTTAAAATATAATTTCAATGAAAATTTTAAAAAAAAAACTTATTCGAAAAATATTTACCTGTAGAGAAGATTCAAGATTTGATATTTCAATGATTTCTTCTGATGATTTTCTTAATATTCTTTTCTTTCGTAAAAATAAATGATCATTATCATCATCTTGTTTTTTTTTAATAATTAAATTTGATATTGTTGTTATTGGTTGTTGATCATCAATAATAATATGTTCAATTTTTTCAAAATAATTTCTTGAATTTATTGATAGAGATGGTAATGAAAGAAATGTTTGATAGTTATATTTATATAATTCAGAATCTGATTGTGAACGTTGAAGAAATTTTTTTTTCGTATATATTAATTCATTTTCATTATCATTATCATTATTATTATTTAATGATATTGTTGATAAATGATTATTTTCATCATCACTCGATTGACAATCATCATTAAATTGTGCACCAAAACCTTGATCTTCATCTTCATCTATTTGTACAATAACCATAGGAAATGGATTTTGTTGATTAGCTTCAAATTGTTGATGATCATTATTAAGAATATTTGGATTTAATTGTTCTTCATTGATGAATTCATTATCTTGTTGTTGTTGATCATTATCTTCATCTTGATTAGGACATAAATCTTCATCGATAAAATCTTGATCTTCATTACCTTCATCGTCATCACTGATTAATTCTCGAGTTGACTAAAATATAAAGTATTTTGTTTTTTAGTTTATTTCGATTTAAGTGGATTTTAATCAACTTTTTAAAGAAAAATTTTTCTTATGAACAAACTTACTGAAAAGATTTATTTGAAAAAGAAATTTTTCAATAATTGAAAAGATTTAGAATTATGACACTTGTTCGAAATCACATTAGTCTGTTTTGCAAAAGTGAAAGACTCAAACAAACAATTCTTTTTTTTAATATATGTTCCTGTGCTTTATCTCATTGAAAACCGACTGATCAATCTAAACTACAATATCAACTTTGTTCATAACCTGATAGATGTAAAGTATTCAAACATGGTTGAATATTATTTATGAAATACTCAATAAATTGTAACAAACACAACATGAATTATTCTATGATCTTATTTTTCTCTCATATTATCATTTGTTAAGAATGAATAGAAAAAAACCTTTTAAGAAAAAAATATTTCTTCAGTTTGTGACCGATTCGCATGGTCAGCAGAAGTTATAAAATATTAGTTTCATATCAAGATTTTGTGCTCTATTCGAATTTAAGTCGGGAATTTTTATTAGACTCGTCGTTTAAAAATGATGAGATAATCTTTCAAAGGCATAAAAAATAAAGCTTAGACGAAGACTGCTGCAAATAAAAATTTCATAGACAGAAAATATGATTTTGTATTCATGTTTGAAATTATTTCCATATTGATTTTCAGCTATTTCGTATTTCTGACGTAGAGATGTCGATTTTTATTTAAGCCTCATTTCTTTTCGTTTGCCAGTGTCACTTTCTGACTATCTTTTAGATCAGTATCTACAGAACAAATGTTCTTGTCTACAATGATATTCCTTTGTGCATATACTTTAATAGCGATTTTTTTGCACCGTATGGCAAGCGAGAACATATTCTACAAAGTACATTAAGAGTCAAGGTTCTTGAAGCAATCTTCCAGAAATAACCGAATGAATATTTTGTGAGTCTGAAGAGTACAGAATCATGGCAATGTCATCATTGGTAGATGTTCTATGGAAAACTAATGATTTCATAGAGAAATGTTTGCTATGTCTTTTGATATGGTTGAAACCAATTTTCCTTTTATTCTGTACGTTTATTTTTCTACGCTGTGGAATTTGTTCAAACTTTATTTTCAGAGATTCTATAGCTTTGCTGATAACTTCAAAAATATGAATCAAATAAAAATTCTGAATCTACATTCAGAAGGAGTACAAAATATTGATATTGAACTAATATTTTATAGTTTATACTGATTATCTTAATTAGTCGAAATTTTTTTATCCATCTCTTGTCATGAAAGTACCACATAGAATTGAGATATAGTGAAAAATGTAAAGAGTTTGTAGATTTAAAACTAAACTTATTTGATACAAACCTGTTCTTCCTTTTTTTGTGCGTCCGATGGATGACTTATTTCACTTCCATCATCGTCATCATCATCATCCATTGTCTCACGTTGATATTCTCCTGGACGATAAAAACCAACAAAAACTTCTAATTGTTCATTTTGATCATTATATTCATTTAATAGATAAATTCTTTGATCATCATCATCATCATCATCTTCTTCAATTTCAATATTTAATGATGAAGAATTTATTGGATTATCATTTCGATTATTATTACTATTATCAACTGGAATATTCATTGATAAAATTCGTGTTGATTGTTGTTCATCAATTGTAGATATTTGCGAGTGATTATCTAATGTTGAATTGGATACACACGAACAATTTTGTACAAAACTAAAAACAAAAAAAAAGTTCGTTTTTTTTTCTATTTGTTTGTATGCCTAATATTTTAATTATACTGAGATGAATTTGATGATTGATCAGTATAAGAAGTAAGATTACATCTTGGTTGTGATGGTCTTGTTGAAAGTATAGTTGTACATTCAATACATTGATTACTTAAACAATGAGATGTAGAACATGATGATGTTGATGAACGTGTAGAATTTAAATCATTCAATTGTTGTTGAACACTATTTGAAAGGATGTTAAATGAAGATGATGTTGATGATGGTGATTGTGAACTAGCATATCGAGCATTCGAAGCGTGATAAGCTGTTGATGAAAGAAAAGAATTTGCTGAACTCATCCTAATGGTAGCAACAACATTATTCAATTGAAAATAAGAAAACAAATCTAAAAAAAAAAATCAACAAGTTATTGCATTTATTAATAACGAAATCATTCTTTTTATTGTCTTGAATTGTCAATAAGAAAAAGACATAGACAATAACAAAAAAGAAAATATTCTATTTCATTCGAAACATTGTTTTATACTGATTTGTGTTTTTCTTTTATTCAGTTTTTGGTTTCGTTGTTTCATCGAATGCTTCACCATATTCATTTACTCGAGTTTTATCAACTGGATAAAGCCTGAAAAGAAAAAATCAACCAAATCTTACCATAAGTTTCTTATATAAGACAATATTAAATAATCGAATTAATCATAAAATATCAAATGTCGTACATATTTTTTTTTTTGTAAAATCTCTATGATCATTTTTTTTCCTCAAGAGTGAAATTGATACTAAAAAAATTTTGCCTGTTTTAAACTCCAAACAAAGATGTGAAACATATCCTATTCAGTTGAATCAGAATATTAGAAGCAACAAATAACTTCAAACAACAAAAACCTATCAACATTCTATAGGCTTGCTTCTTTCCGTATAAAATAGGGAAATCTTTGATGTACAATATGTTTTATGTTTTCTAACGGTGGAATTTATCTGGTGAATCCATCGGTCGATGACACTATTAAAGATGCAATAGGCAAATAATTATCTCCATGTAAATCATAAAAGAACTCATTCCTTTTCGAAAAAAAAGCAATATTTTCTTAGTTAGAACAATGAACTTTTCACATATGAAAGTTTTTCTAATAATTCTTTTGTAATAAAATGTTAACTTACCATTTTTGATATAAATAAATAAGAAAAACAAAATCATCACGAAAACATGCAAGTCGATGAGCTGTTGGCATTGTAATTATAAACGCAAAGAGATCATCAATGAATGTATTGAATGCCTATTTATTTCAAAATAAATTTTTTTTAAACTTGTTTTTGTTTAAATTCACCTTATACATAAATGCTCTCCATGGTAAATGAGCAACAGATTTAAGTTTATAATTGAGAAATAATTGAGGCATCATAAATAAAAATCCAAATGCATAAACTCCATTAACAAGTGAATTAATTATCCATGAATACCAACTAAAAATCAAACATTTTCTTTTTATCATCTTTTTTTCTCTGCCTAATATAGGATCTCACGAAAGTTCGAACGAAAATAACATACGTAAATAGTTTTTCAGCAATTCAAAGGATTTATACATTTCTATTTTAAAGTTTGACTACATATTTACTTAACTTTTTAGATCAAATGTCTGTGTCTATAAACCCTATGGTAATAAACTAGCTTGTGAAATAGATCAAATACTTGATTCGAGCTCATTTTTACACGCATTCTTAACTTCCTTCATTTTGCCCTTTGTCATTGCTTTAGTTCTTCTACAACGTCACTGATTTCACAAAATCACTGAAATATAGTTCTAATACAACATTCAATTAGTGGGTGTTTTTTTGTCGAACTCGAATTGAAGCCTTCGTTTTACAATAGTAGGTGACTTGAATTGCGCGATCTGTAATACAATTTTTATTCTGACTATTGTAAATACAGACATTTTATCTAAAAATTTTAACGAGTATACGACCAAACTGTAAAAAAAAATATTATAATCCTTTGAATTGCTGAGGAGTTATTCATGTTTTGTTTTTTTTTGTCTTTTGAACTTTCGGAACATCCTATATATTACCTTTTATGACTATTGTAAACAAGTGAATAAACAGCTAAACCAATACAAAGTGGATATAAAAGATAAGATAAATAACGCATAGCCTTAAAGAAAAATAATTTTTTCAAATCAATAATTAACCTTATGCTTTTACCGTTGAATCGTGTAACATTGTATCAGCTTCTTCTTTTGATTTTTCTCCAAACTAAAATGTAATACTTAATTTAGAAAAAATTAATTACCTATTTATAACTTACTATAATTACTGGTATATAACCATTAAATCGAATTTTAATTTTTAATGCTTTTGTTACTTTCCAAATCTAAATAATCAATCAAAATCCATCAATATTCGATATCTTTGTAACTGACTTCAATTAAAGAACCTATTCCAGATGGAATAAGAACTAATAAACTTGCACCAGAATCCAATAAATAAAGAAAAATAATAACATTACTAATCGAACGCCACAAGACTACAACAGAAGAGAAAAAAAAACATTATAAATTATTATTTATTTATTTCAATTAACCTGTTCGTAATGATAATCCAACCATTGTTTTTCGATGTCTCCAATAATTAATATCATTTTTAAAAGCCAAAAAATCAAATAAAGTCTTCATAAAAGAAAAGCAAACAAGTTTATTTTTCATTTTAATGAAAAATAAAACGGAAAAGAAAATTCTTACGTGAAAAGCAGCAACAATAAATGTTAATGCTAATATTGGTAAATTATTATCAGCAAAAATACCTTTTATTTCATCGATTTCTTTATCTGAAAATCCATATGATCGTGTAGATTCAAGTGCTCGTTCAAAATTAATCCATAATCTCATACGGCCAATTGATATAGGAGTATAAATTACTTTTAATTCAATCGTATCATCTGATATATTTACTGGCTAAATACGAAACAAAAAGTGGAAAAGATACTACATAATAAGAAAACTAAAATTCAATATAAAACACTGTATCCTAATAAATATTTATAGTTTTATGTATCATTCGGAAAGTTTTCGAAAAATAAAATAATCATTTTAAGATTGATGACTCAAACATAATAATACATAGAAAAAATTTCACATATATAATGTTTTTACTTCTTTCAAGTTTCGCAGAAAGAAAATAACTATTCATTCTACATTCTTTTCTAATTTCAGGAAGTGTTTCAGACTTATTTTTTTATCAAAATATATCTTCATATATTGCTTTAGATGTTTTCTTCTTTGAATAAAGAAGATTCAACGGAAGCTAATATTTGTGTTCATTAGTGCATAGAGATGAAAAATATGTTTCTTTTATCAGAGAATAATGCTTGAATAATAAAAAAAAAAATTTAGACATAATAGAATTCATATCAATTAAAGACATAGAATAACGTCAAATGAAAAGATTCTTGTAGACTAATTCTCAATTAGTTATCGGTATCGAAGTCACGGTCGTAATCAAAGAAAAAAAGAAAAATTTTTCATAACAGTCTTCGATGAAAGGACTAAAAGAATTTTGAACAAAGATTCAATTCGAATTATTCATTAAACAAGTAAACTAAATAATTTTATATATCTCCAAACATGTTGCATCATCTCTTTATCTTTAAAAAGTCATTTTTATTGGTCTAATCTCACTACTGCAATATCAATTTACTATTTATAAATATTAGGAAACTTTAGAAAATTATCATACATTCTTAGATGATGATTTTTATCAAGATTTCGAATCATATCGATAGATCTTAATTTCCAAGCGGTTTGCTCACTTTTGACTTGCTAGAAAATATATCCAAGGACTCAAAAATGATATGCATGTGTTCTTGTTGAATATAGATTTAGGAAATTTATTTCGATTTTTCTTCGAGAGTAGTGAAATAATCTTTGAAAAGTCGAAAAAAAATTCGTTTGCAAATGTTGGAATTTTTATTTATATATTAACTTGTAGATTAAAAGCTATTTAACAAAATGCACTATTTGGGATTTGCCTTGTCTCTCAACAAGGTACTTAAATTCTGGATTGTCATAAAAACTCATTTTTGAAAAATCGTCAATCGTTTTATGTTGAAAGAAGCTTTGGAAAAAAAACTTGTGATCTCGTTTATGTAAAAGCTAGAAGTTCGTTCAATATCATATAAAATATTTAGTATGTTCACAAGGAACATATAGATCGAACAAAAACTTGTTGGATCATCATTAAACATAATTTTTTAGTTTTTTCAAAAAATTCCTCACTACTCTTGAAGAAAAAATAGACACAACATGTCTAAATCTATATTCGAAAAGTGTATTCTAACTCATAAGTTTTAACTCATCACAAACTCTGTCTAATGGATAAAAAACGAATAAACACTTTGTCTAAAGACTTTCCGATTAACCATTATAATCAATTATGTATATCATGTCTAGTTTAAAGTTTGAGTGAACCAGAATTTTTTTTGTCACAAGATTTGAGACTTTGACATGAAATAATTAATTATTAAACTAAATGTAACTTACTTGATAATCCCGAAGACGAGTAGTTAATTCATCTGAACTAATCAAAGGACCGTAAGTTGTTTGCGAATATAGACTAATAATATTTTTAAAACAACAATAACAATAATTAAATGAATAGAATGAATTTCTTACATCATTAAATGATAAAGTTCTGGTGGAATGTCTAATCTATCAAATATAATATCTTGATTAACGCCATGAAATATAATTTTTTTTAAAATATGAGTTATAGGTATATTTGATGAATTATTCACAGATTTATTCTAAAAATAAATTTTTGATTTTCTATCTTTTCTTTTTATTTCTATATTAAATATAAATGTTTAGAAACGAACTTGATTTTGTTCATTAATACCGGTTAGACTTGAAGGTAATTTTTCTTGTAAAAGATTAATAAAACTTTGTTGTGGAATAAGATATTTTGATACTAATCGTTGACGATAAATATGTGTTCGATCTTGAAATGGATCAATACCATGATAAATATAAAAATGTATATAAAATGTTGTATTTTGTCGAAATTGTTTTACTAATGGTATATGAATTGTTCTATTAAATAAGAAAGAAAAAGAATTAGAATAATAAACAAGTGACTTAATTAAAAAAATTTACTCATCAAATGATTGATTTATTGTAAAATTATCTAAATCTAACATTTTTACACATTTTGAATCCGTCATTGAACGAGGTTGATTTGAACTTATTGATAAACAACTATATAACTATGAAATTCAATAGAATTAAGAAAAATCAAAATTAGATTTTTATGTTTAAATTTACTTTAAGTTTTTTATTTAATGATGGTTTAA